CCTCGTCGCTGCGAACCGGGGATTGTGGAGGTGATGGTTCGTGTCGAGGAGGCGGGTTACGCCCCCTTGGTCTTCTGACCGGGGCTTCAGGCATGTTCGCCCTTGGCTCCGGGGAACGCCTCTCCTTTCGAGGTGGTGATCTTGCTCGTTTCTTGGAGGCCACTGGTTAGGGCCTCTCCATCTGTGGTCTGCGCCCCCGCGGTTGTGGAAAGGGGCTCCGGGAGTTCCCGCGCTGATTTCTCCGCGGAGGAGAGCGGGATGAGGTATCCTGTTCCAGCGCGCCGATGCGCTCCTTTTGACGGAACAACATCTAATTTGTCTGGTTGATGGCCACGAAGAGAGCGATAATCATTGGGTCCGCCCCAGCGGACGTGGGGATGGGCTGGAAGACCACCGGGCTCCTCGCCCGAGGAACAACGTGATGTGCAGTGTCTTCGGATGAAGGAGAGGTAGTCTGGTTGTCCCTGACCTCGATCTCGCATGCTTGAGATGTCCCCGGCGGGTTGTCGCCGTTGGTTACCGGGGTGAAGGCGGAATCGGGAACAGCGTCATCGTGGCGTGGGCTAGTCATGATCTCAGAATTTGAGAGGATGAAGCTTTGGTTCTCTGCTCGGAGGAACGGGGAAGCTTATTTCTCACAGACGGCGCCACTGATTTTACCTGATAAAAAAGGAATCAGTGACTTGCCACGCGTCGTTGATCTGCTAGCCGTTCACCGAAGGTATGGAAGAGAAGGGGGGTCTACCTGAAACACACTCTGATGCCAAAGTAAGTGACGAGCAGAGTGGGAGCAAGTACAGAGAGAGAGTAAGAGAGTTAAGTTACATGACCTTCTAGTGAATAGGGTATTTATAGTGAGCCCCCAGCGCAGGGCCAACGGTTACCTAGCACTGGGCTGGGCTGTCAGACCCAATGTTAGTAACTGTTAGGGCTGACATGGCGTCGTGAAGACTAGCACGTGGTCTTCGCCCTAGGGTAACTGTTCTGCACTATCCGAGAGGAGGAAGACCGAATCTTCAAGACGTGGGTAGTTACTTTATGACGTGTCCCTGCGTGAGGGACACGTAGAGAACGTGGGAGGGAGGTACGAGGAGCTCCCCGAGCAGGCTGGACTCTGCCTGATGACGGGGAAGAAAGAGGCTGGCTAGTCGGCTGCGAGAGTCCTTCACGACAGCTGTTGGTCTGTGCTTGTCAGGGGGGGAAGGTTGTGCCCGACGGGTCTTCTGCCCGTCAACGTGGTCCTATTGGGTCCAACCCCAGTGGGTTTTTGACCTGTTTAGTTGTGGGTTAAGCGTCGGTCTAGTACAGAACAAGTAGTATATTTTATTATATCAAAAATACACTTGCAAATATTTTATTTAATAGATTTTTTAATAAGAGTATGTGAGTAATGTTGATTATGTTAAATATGAGATACTTCAATATTTAATAATCTAGCTTATTTGATACTTGTGTGAGTATGATCATCTCAAGTAATTTGGAAACAATGTTTTAATATTTAAAATGAACTCTTAACAAAAAAAAGTATAATTTTAAAAAAAAATCTCTTTAAAATTTAAACAATATCAATAATATTAAAAATAGTTATTGTCATATATTACATATAAAAAAATTTAAAATTTAAAGTTTTCACCTTAATTAAATTTGCAGTGTTGAAGTTGAATAAGGTAGACGATATTAAAGTTATAATATATAAACGGAAATTAACATATCAAATAATAATTAGAATAGAGTAATAAATTACAACATTAATAATTAGAATAGAAATTTATAGAATTACTATGTATAAAAAAAAAAACTTATAAGATTTTGTTTCTTGTTCATCCAACGTAGATTTGCATAACAATTTATAGAATTAATAAGAATTAAAAAAAAAACTTATAATACTGATCTGTAGGAAAGAGAATTATGACGACGGTGGAAGAGATAAAATTTATGGCAGAAAGTAAAAATTGAAGATTCCAAAATCTATGCTTAAAAGAAGTTTTGTTTAGTTTTTTAAATAAATTGCTAACTCACTATTTTAATTTTTTGTTAAGTTTTATAACACATCATCATAATTTAAAGTTCTCACAAAATTTAATAGACATGATTAATTTGCCAAACAAAAAGGTTTTTTTAAGAGTTAATATAACTTTTTTATTAGGAACTAAAGTAAAACTTTAAATTAAGTTAAATGATAAAAAAAATGCACTAATAAACCTATGAGAAATAAGCTATGATATGCTACACAACTCGTAATGAAAAAAATGTTACATAATTCTTAATCCTAGTGGCCACTAGAGTAAAAAATGACACTAGTTATGCACTATTGCTTGATAAAGACTATTGCTTGATAAAGAAAAACTAATATTCTTACTAGCGCTCACGCTTCAAAAATATATATATATATATATATATATATATATATATATATATATATATATATATATATATATATATATATATATATATATATATATATATATATATATATATATATATATATATATATATATATATATATATATATATATATATATATATATATTTGTTTATTTATTGCCGCTCATATTTTATTTACCCACATTTACAAAGTTTCAAAATATCTCTAAAATTCAGGTTTTGAAACTCGGGCGCATCAAAACACTCGTTAAATACAAGTAAAAATAATTCTAAATTTTAAATTCTGAATGAATAACTTACGTATATTAAAATCAGACACACCACAACAAACACAATCTCAAGATCAATGTCAAATCAAAGTTAAGAATATGTTTGAATTTTAAAATTCAGATTCATCTTTATGAGTATTAAAACCCGAACACATTCATTTAAGTAATCGCACCCTGCCTTTCACTCTTCTTTCCATTACATTTGAAACCAAACAAATCAATGTAAAATAGAGCTTTCACTAGTGCCTACTCCTGTTCCAACATTGTTCCAATCTTTCTCTCGAGTTCTACTCCTATTCGTTCAAACCTAACATCTTCATTGACTTATACTCCTCTTCATTCAAACTAACCACACTCATCTCTCACATTTGGTAAGTTTCTCATATCCTTGTTTTTTGTAATGTGTGATGCATACAATTTCTTAATAGGTTATTGTTTGAAAATATTGCATCAATATCATTATAGAAGACAATGACAAGAGCAACAACTGTGGGGTTCCTATGTATACCAAATAGATACCCAAACTTTCCCAATACTCACTCAGGTAGATGCAGATACATAAGTTGACACATAAGCTAGCCATCCAGAATATAAGGATATCACCTCCAACGGCTGCGTTAGACATCTCCCACCATATAGTGTGAAACAAATATCATCTATATGGATGTGGTCAAGAACAAGTATGTATTCCTCAGTCATTGGATTACCTCTGAGTGGAAAAATCGAGCACGCACATGAAAAATCCTCAATGTAGTCATCAACATACTTCGAGTTGGCGGTACTTCAAAAATACTAGAGGATTCATGTATGAAAATGGTTAAGATGAGATAGAAGTAAATGTATAACACAAGTATTATGAAATTAATGTCAGTAAGGATGTAAATAAATTACTAAAAATAAACAGTTCCTTCCTGCCATGTGTCTCATCTTTCATATACTACCTTTATCTAACTTGGAGTAGAGGTAAATCAAATAAGATGCCCCCAATTGTACACATGAATCCTCTCAAAATCATGAAGTATTTAATAAAGACAACATCGATATAAGTCATACTTTTGTCCTTGAATATGTCTTTGCAAACAAAAAATTAGGAAGTATGTCATCGCTTGCAGTATCCACAACCGCATTCAGGTGGTTAATGTAATTTTTTGATAGGAAAGAATCTAGCATGACATCTCATACATGGTGTGTTCTATCTCCCACTGGGCTTTACTTGAATCAACCCTTAATTGTATCACCACCGGGTTCAAAGAAGATGAAATAACGACGTCTATGATGTCATCTCTAATCAAATACAAACAATAGATCATGGTCAATATAACCATATACAGTCCTACTGAATACAATCACTCAACAACATGCAACACTTCTCCAACTGTGGATCTTGAGGATCTAACTTTCTTCCTACGCATTAAAGCATGTTGGGATATTTAGATGTATCCTAATGTATCATAACAATAAGCTATTAAGGAGTAGTGTGCATCACAAATAATAAAAATTAAGGATATATGAGAAATTTACCAAATGTGAGAGACGAAAGTGGTTGGTTACCTTGAATGGAAAGGATAGGAAGTTGTTGAATATGTTATGATTGATCGAACATAAGTAGAACTAGAGAGAATGATTGAAACAATGCATGCATCATCCATTTGTTTAACACACACAAATAATACATACCTGCAATAATTTTTTAGGGGTTAGTCCAAATATTTAGATGAGGATGCCTTTCTAAAGATGAGATTTGCTGTATAATTAATGCATTCAAATTTCAATCTCCAGACGATATGAAGGGACATTTTTTAAATTGTCATAGGGATAGAGAACATAATATGATGTAATGAACACCACCCTAAAAATATGAGACTCTAATTTTTTGGAGGCCATAAACAACATGTCAATTTGCATAGATGTAAACCTGATCATGTGTGTAAGGACATCAATTGTGCGAACGCATGTTGAAATCTAAGACATCTCACTTATTTATCTTTGAGGGTGAGATTTTGATCAATAAATTATTATTGAAAAAAAATAAATTTATTTGGAAGGGTCTATAATCAGAGTCAATAAAAAAATCTTATCCAACTCAGAGATTACATTTTTTTCGTTAGATACCCTAAGAGGAAAAATAAAAGCTAGAAATCATATGACAATCTAATCACTGAAAAATCAGGTACAACGGAATTTAACAAGAAATCATAAAATTGATACTTGAGACTCACCACTTAAATTTTTTTTCATGTGAAAAGTACTCAAGATGAAATAGGTTACATTGAATGATTGAAGAACAAAATCAATTAGCAACTAAAACTAAAGTTATAAAATAACTAAAATCATATTTAACATCTTTCAAGACTTCACTTGAAGACTTGAAACCAATTCTTCATTTCCATTATTTTCAGCTTCATGTTCATCATTCTTGTCAACAATGTTGCTCTCGATCTTGCTATTGCCGTCACCGGTGGTGTTCGACAAGACAACAATCTCGATTTCTTCGGTTTCAGAAGTGATTTCTAAATGAGTCACTTTCTTCATTTCTTTGCTCTTGCCCCATAACACCATGTACAATCCAACCATTATCAACACTGCTCCAATTACACTACACACATTTTTCAAAAATCAAAACTATAATTAATTCAACATTAATCATATACTTATATAATTAAGTATAATTAGTATGTATCTATACCTTCCTAAATATAGATTCTCATCCAACATCAAAGAACCAGCAATGGCCACTAGCACTAACATCAAAGGGTTAAAAACTGAGGCGTATAGTGGACCTCTCATCCCTACGCACCATGCAATCACAACAATCATTAATCCAGAAGCCACAACTCCCTACAAAAAACAAAACCAATCTAACTTACCATATTAATATTAACAAAAAAGATTATGATATAACTTATAATTAAGTAATTAATTAGTAACATTTCACATACTGAATATGCTGCAGTTAGAAGCCTAATACTCCAACCTAATCTCCATTGGCTCCAATCTTTCTCCATACAAAGGGCAAAAATTGTAGCTTGAGTGGCCCCCATTAAGTTCATCAATGCAGAACTTGAGTAATGACCTTGATATTCTTTGCTCATTTTAGCCTACAAAAATTTCATGTATTAAGTTAAAATCGTAACTTAAGCTGCAATATAGTGGCGGAGTCTGAAACCTGATTCAGATATGTAAAAAAAAAATTCAAAATACAATTTATATAAAAAAAATGTATATGTATATTTTTTTTAAAAAAATTTATTTGAATTTCTCAAAATTTCTGGCTCCGTCTCTCATCTCTATCATTATAACAAATTGTAAAGGGTCATTTTTTTTTTTTGAAGATTTTTACCTGAATGATGAGCCATAATGCAAAGCAGAAGCAACTTCCAAGCCCAAAAAAGATACCCAACAGTTTACTACCAGAGTCATCATTTATTGTTCCATTTTTACCCTTATGCAAGAGATTAATGTGGAAGGTCCAAATATTAATTTCAACACCTTTGAGAAATGTTAACATCATTGCCCCTCCAATTCCTGTAATTGTTCCTAACACCTTAGCCTTCCCTGCTGCTCTTTGGAAATTCAACCTTTCATAACTAACAAAATTGAAGCAAAATAAACAAAAAAAATTATTACAATTACGATATTATACATCACGATAAATCATAACTAACTTGTAACAATATTCAACTAATTCTAACGAATTAGTTAGGTTTTTAGTACGTACCCGAAAGAGACGGCCAAGATGAAAGTGACGGCCGGAATGAGATTATAAACCGCAGAAGCAAATGTCGCCGATATCAATGCCAATGACTCGAAATATAAGTTTTGAAATAAACTTCCTCTGAAATTTTGTTATATGATTTTAATCACGCAGAAAACAATTTTAGTAAAAATTCTTTAAAAAAAAAAAGTAGTGGAAATTAAAAAGTTGGTGATGGAGTTTACATAATCTTAATTACTTACCCAAATAAACCACAAAAGAATGACATAAAAACAACCCTCCATGTAAGCTTTGGTCTATTCTTCCTGTAAATAAATAATAATTAATTAACAAAGTTAGTAATTAATTAGTTACTTAATAAATAAATATTGTACTGAAAAGATTAATATATGAATGCATGAAACCTTTCAAAAAAGATAGCAAGTGGAATAGTAGTAGCTGCTGCAAAAATGAGACGATAAGCAGTAAGAACCCTAACACTCATTCCATTGTTAATAGCAAGTTTGTAAAGAACATTCACAGAAGCAAATGCCATTTGAACCATTAACATCATCAAAGCTGGTTTCAATCCATGCACTAAATTTCCTATATCTCTCATTTTCTTGCACTGGTTTTTTTTTTTCTCTCAAAATATATTTTACCTGTGGAAGAAATTATAAAATGTTGATAAAATGATATAAGTTATATAGATGTTGGACTGTTGAACTGTAGAGATGAAAAGTTTTTATCAAGTAAATGGTGTGTAAGTGGAGAACACAGATTTCGAATTCTATATAGCTTTATGCTTTTTGTTTTTTCAGTTTAGTCAAATATGTTACACAATATATGGAGTCATAAAATAGTATTATAAATGAAATTGAAGTTATGGGTTGAGGAAGTAAAATCTTAATTTGTTGTAACATTGTGTTAGTGCAAGTGTGCAACTACAATATCACACGTGACCAGTTGTACTTAGACATATAGTTCTACTTTTTTTTATAAGCATATAGTGCTACTATATTGGAGGAATGGGGGATTAGACACTTCAAATATCAAACATTTTCATATTATTTTCTTGTTATTAGTGTTTATTTTTCTCCTCTCATTAATACTTTTTTTTTTTTTGTGTATTTTTAATATTAATTCCTTATTAATTATTAATTTTTCATATGGTTCTTGGGATGCAATGACTTCATGATAATATGATGTGCATCCTTGGTGACTTTAAAGTTGCCCTTAGCCCTAAAAAAGAAAAGTGTGGGGTCAGGGGCCTCAATGTCGGGATTGACATAGCTTATTTAGTTTGGGGCCTTTATTGTGGCCATGAGTTGGTGGATCTTGCTCTTTTAGGTAGGAAGTTTATTTGCTTCCATGCCAATGGAGTGCTTATGAGAAGGTTGGATCGTGTGTTTCCCTTTTCAGATCAAGTGGAGGAGTGACATCAATGGAGCATGTGGGTATTGCTTAGGGACATTTCTGATCATTGCTCACTTGTTGTGAAGTACTCTTCGCAACTTTGGGAGCATAAGCCATTTCGGTTCAACAATTTTTTGTTGGGTAACACTAGTTTTGACTCGGAGGTTAGGGAACGTTCGAGATCGAGAGATTGTGAGGGTTGGATGTTGGTATTCTCAAAGAAATTTAAAGGCCTTAAAGAAAGTTCTTATAATGTGAAATAAGGAGGTGTATGGAAATATGGACTTAAGGATCAAGATGTGTAGGGATAACCAGGAGATGTGGGATCAAGACGAAAGAGGCATATCTTTTGTATAGTGATTCGGGTGTTAGGTTGAGTGTTTTCCAAAAGCTTGGTGAACTTCTGTGTTGTAAGAACGCTCAGTTGTTCCAATAGTCTAGGGCATCTTGGTTAAAAGAAAGGGATGTTAATACAAGACATTTGCATGTCTCCTTGGAGGTTAGGTCCTAGAGAAATAGTGTGATTATTATTCGTGTGGTTGATCATTGGTGAAGTAGGTGGACGATGTGAGAGGTGAGGCGTTGAAGTTTTTTAAGGAGCATTTCTTGGATTATATGGAGAGTCTTCTTTGTTTGAATGAGCTCTTTCTCCCGTCTCTTTCGCCTGTTAAAGTTAGGCTTATTTCTTTTGATTTTACTCCCATAAAGATTGATGTGATTGTAAAGGATATAGTTTGTTGTAATAGTTTAGGGCCTGATGGATTTAACTTTTCTTTATAAAAAGTTTTAGGATATTTTGAAGTAAAAGATCTATATTATGTTTGACCAATTCCATGTTAATGCTTCACTTCTCAAGAGTTTGACATCATTTTTTGTCACTCTCGTCACTAAATGGATTCTCCATAGAGTTAGGAGTTTTCAGACTTATTACAAATAAAGATAAAGACAAATTATATAATAATTTATAAAATAAATGAAGTTATAATTAAAAGGCTTAGTTACAGTTTTGACATCTATTTTGTTGAGATTTAATCCATAATTGTCATGTTAGTTAGTTAGTTAGTTACCTAATGTAGATAACTTGCTTTGTAAGTAATTGTGTAATGCATATAAATAACACTTTGTGATATGAATAATATAATAAATGAGAATCACCTATATTCTATACTATCTTCTCTTTCTTCTCTTCCAAGTTTCCTATATACATTTGTGAGTGTGTGAATCATTTACTTCATCTTGCAAACCATATTCTTTCTTGTTGCGCATTCCTTGTGATTTATCACAGTGATGTTGTTCTAATAATTGGCATCTAGTACCTGATTCGATCTAAGGGAAACACGAGAGAAAAGTGAGGGGAACAATCAAGGGAAACACTGAGTGATATATTCTTGATAGGCAAGATGAATAACAATGGTTTTAGATCAAATATTCTGGTTCTTGATGGCAAGAATTGGGATTGTTGGAGTGCTTTGATGAGATCTTTATTTATAGTACAAGAAGTGAGTGGTATTATGCAGAATGACTATGAATATCTGGTGGTGAATCCAATTGATGCATAGAGGACTGCCAAGTGTTGACAATCAACACTTTGAGAATATTTCTAAAGCTACAAGATCCAAAGAAGCATGAGACATTTTAGAAAACTACACACTGGTGGAGAAAAGGTGAAGCAATTGAAGTTACACTCCTATAGAAGAAAGTATGAGATGATACGGATGGAAGAAGATCAGAAAGTAAGTGATTACTTCTCAAAATTAATAACCATTATAAATCAGATGCAAACTTGTGGTGAGAACATTACAAAACATATGGTAGTAGAAAAGGTTATGAGATATTTAAGTCCAAAGTTTTATTTCATAGTTGTAGTTATCCAAGAAGCAAAGGAAGTGAAAATTATTAAAATTGAAGAGTTGCAAAATTCATTGGAAGCACATGAGCTCCTGGTGTTTGATAGAAGTTCTGAGAGACCAGTTCAACAAGAATTCCAAGTTCAAACTTCCAAGAAGGAGGGAAATCAGAAGATTTTCAAGAAGAAGAAAAAGAGAAAAGCAAATTGGTTCAACAATGAAAAGAACAAGACTAAAGACAAAGTTGAATCTTCAAAGAGAGGAGGTTTATGCAGAAGTCAGAACAAGAATATGGATTTTGACAAAAGTAAGGTGCGATGTTACAACTGTGAGAAGTATCGACACTTTACTTATGAATGCTGGTTCAAGAAATATTAGAAGTCTAGTGAAGAAGAAAATCTGGCTCATGAAGATGATTCTAGGAAAATGTTGATGATGGCTACTACCAGTGATGAAAAGATTAAGAATGAAGAGTGGTTTCTTGACTTTGAATGCTCAAATCACATGACATCACATAGAGATTGGTTGACAAGTTTTGATTCTAGCAAGAAAACAAGTATCAAACTGGATGACATTAGAAACCTTTTGGCTGAAGGTAGTGGAAATATAATGATCAGAAGCAATGCTGGCAAAAGAATCATTATTGAAGACGTGATGTATGTTCCTGAGATGAAGCGTAATCTCATGAGCATTGGTCAACTGGTGGAGAAGGGGTTCTCAGTGACTATGGATGGTGACTCTTTGAAGTTGTTTGATGCAAAGAAGAATTTGGGGCTCAAATTGAACATGTCAAAGAAAAGAACATACAAATGCAACATCTCAAGTGAAAAGATGATGTGCTTGTCTGCAGTAGAGAATGAAGATGTTGAAGATCTATGGCACAAGAGGTATGGTCACATAAATTTTATAATTCTTAGTGAGTTGAATTCTAAAGAACTTGTATATGGCTTGCCAAAACTGAATGTCTAAAAAGCCATTTGTGAAATGTGTATGAAAATTAATTAAAACAGTTTCTTCTTTGTTTCTGAAGCACCTAAAAGAGCTAGTGTAGCACTGCAAGTGGTTCACTCTGATATATTTGGTCTTTTTGAAGTATCTTCATTAGGGGGAAGCAGATATGTCATCACATTTGTTGATGAATGTACAAGAATGATATGGTTGTATACAATCAAGCTTAAGAGTGAGGCCTTAGATGTATTCAAAAAAGTCAAAATCTTAATAGAAAAGGAGAGTGATAAATCTATTAAGATCTTGAGAGATGGTGGTGGAGGAGAATACACCTCAAAAGAATTTGAAGCCTTTTGTGCCAATCAAGGTATTATGCATGAAGTAACAACTCCCTATACATCTCAGCATAATGGACTTGTTGAGAGAAGGAATACAACTCTACTAAATATAGCAAGAAGCATGATCAAGCAGAAAAACCTACCACACGAGTTTTGGGGTGAAGCAGTCACTACGACTGCTTACATTCTGAATACATTTCCTACAAAGAAGCTAAATTTGAAGGTACCAGAGGAAGCTTGGCGTAGAAAAAAGCCTAGTGTGAAGCATTTCAAGTTTTTTTGCTCTTTGTGTTACAAACATGTACCATATGTTAGAAGAAGCAAGCTTGAAGATAAGAGTGAAATTATGATACTTATAGGCTATCATCCAACAGGCACCTATAAGCTTTATAATCCTGTAACTCAAATGGTACATGTCAGTAGATATGTGATTGTGAATGAGACTGAGAAGTGGAAATGGGAAGAGGAACCAGTATACAATAGAGAGAATCAACAAAGTTGCATTTATCCTAATTTAAATTATGAATCAGATAATGAAGAAGTGAACAATAATGATGCAGATGTACCATAAGAAGAGGAAGCAACTGTGAGACCTCAAAGAATCAGACAAGCTATAAGAAGGTTGAATGACTGTGAAGTGATTTCTGATAATGCAGTAAATGATGAAGGTGATATCATTCACTTTGAATAGTTAGTAGATTCTGAACCTCTCAATTATAAAGAAGCACTGAAGATACATGTACGGAAGAAAGCTATGATGAAAGAACTCCAAGCAATTGAGAAGAATCACACCTGGGAGCTGGTTAACTTGCCATATAAGAAAAAGAAAATAGATGTAAGGTGGGTTTTCAAACTGAAATTAAATCCTGAAGGGAAAATTTCAAAGCATAAGGAAAATTGGTGGCTAGAGGTTTCTTACAAAAACATGGTATTGATTACAATGAGGTGTTTGCTCAAATTACAAGGCTTGAAACTATAAGACTGGTGGTGGCTCTAGCTTGCAAGAGAATGTGGTTACTCTATCATTTAGATGTAAAATCAGCTTTCCTAAATGGTCCACTTGAAGAGGT